GTATGAATACCTGAGATGAATTCGTGTCCAAGGTCAAGGTCATAGTTGCAGTAGGAACATTCGTATTAGTAATCTTATTATTTCAATTATTTTATTTCACCATTACTTTAATGGAAAGAAAAATAGACTTAAATGAAATATTCCTGTGATCAATCAATATTCCGATATCCTCATATATAAAATGTTGCCTAGTGGTACAAATATCACATCAAATTGAAGTGCCACAGAGCTAATACTAACCCACAAACTGCCTTAAACAAAACACACTTCAATATGATACCGTGGTAACTGCTTCGTCGTTTATACGACTTCTGAAATCACTGAACAGTGTTTCAAAATCGATAACTTTATGACCCTGAACGAAGTTCCTACCTGTGTTAGATGTCGATGTATACAGGTACATCTACAAATTACCTGGATACACTTAAATAATCACCGAACCGTGAAATATCAACTGCATCAATCGTAGAAAGATCAATATGATTTTATTGATTATGTCAGTTTTATTGGTACCGCTTAGCAACACATTAATAAATCATGTACACACACACAGGCAATTGGTTCCGTCGGTAAGGGTACTGTCAATAACTGAACATTTGGCATAGCGACACGGGATCATCTCACTGTTTATAGTTAGTGGGCACCTGTATCGTGTTCTTCACGTGTAAAATCCACGGAATTACCGTCTCATTTTACCCTAAGGTCAGTATGGGTCATTTTTTATTTCGTTTGATGTAGATTAAGATGTTACTTTCAACAGAGTGGTGTTAGTTTCATTTACACTATCGTACTGCATGTAAACAAATTACAGGGCGGATGAGACCTGGCGAATTCTGGTTCGGCAGGTCCGAAAAAAAAAACCTGTATTGTTCGATCTTACACAAATACAATCTTACTTATGTCTCACTTATTACGTTTTCAAGAAAGTTGTGTAAAACGATTCTTCCAAAAATATTGAAATTCGATTTTTTTTATTAATAGATTCATATACTTTTTTTAACTGTAAAATGAAATCATATGAATATAATAAGAAAAAGTACACCTCTTTATAAAACCTCTCAAACTACTTTACTATTTAAAATTAGAAAATAAAACTGGGTAAGAAAATGTAAATTATTTGTATCAATTAGCCGTTTGACTTCCACTTGTACATGGCAGTGTTACATGGCCCATCCCATCTCATCCATCTCAAACGCACAAAAACCCTTAACAAAATCACTCACGGAGTTTCATAAATCGTCCATTATAATTGATATTCTTACAAACTTATGTACAATTTTACTTTATATTCAATGTAATTCTGACATTTTCCTTTATCAACACTGTATGGTGTCTCATGACTAGTCGTTTGCTGTATACGGCCTATATAATTCGTCCCCTTCCAATGGATTACACAATGTACAAGCCTGTATGAAGTTGTTCGTTATCACAGATAGCTGTGTGACAAAAGCAAGCTGACATGTGGTTTTAAAACACAAAGGAAAGCTGAGAAAGAAGGCACACAAGATACAATATATTTACTTAGATTTATTGACATATACACTTTAAACGGATTTCTGACAATAACATCGCCGATCTGACAACGATGGGTACATATTAAGTTGTATAGTTCATTATCAGGATCAGGCTTTATAGAATTTGACGGGAGGGAAAACCTAATTGTGAATATTCAGTCTGTGAATGGTATCTGGAATAATACAGCTCAAATATCTGACACTACTGTTTTTTTTTTTTTTTTTTTTTAATTTTAATTACTTGGATACCTTCTACTGTCGATTAAGACTTTAATCAGTTTTATTTCCCTGTTAGTAACTATATAAGAACTTCAGGGGATATTTTGTGGTTTCGTTTCGAAATTTTGATTTAAATAAATTTAATTTGCCTAGGTAAAGAAAAAACACTCTCTAATCTTTACCTTGTCTGAAGAATGACTGTTAAAGATTTTTCACAATATCTCTCAAAACATCTAATTTCCCCACACTAAAATTGACAAGTAGTGACATACAAATACAAGTAGATTATAGAACCACTGTATTTATACTAAGTTCTAGTCTACAACTTTTTGTTGATTCTAGAGAGGGACCAGACAGACGAACATGCCGATTACAGACCAAAATTTCCTGAATACGCTATTTTGGTAGAGTTCAGAAAATAAAACTTTCTATTATCGTAATAATTACGTGTTCAGGTTGATCGCTAAGTCATCAAAATTCTACGGTTACATTACAAAGTACCGCGGTACATATTTTACGTTACCATCCTAATTCACTTTCTTATACGATGTTTGTAAATATAAGTTTAGAAAGACAAATATTGTTAGTGGTTTAAGTATTGTAAAACAATCTCGTTATAGGTGTACATGCCGCTTACAAGTGTCTCATAAAGCTATCAACGGAGTAGAATTGTTGTACATGAACCCACACTTGTCGACTGCTGTCCTTGTCAACAGCCATAGCCTTGTTCGTTTTCAATCACGTGGTGTAATCAATTTCAATCAGAGATGTAATCAACACTGTTGTATGGTTGTTGAGGATATCACATTTCGCATGATTTTAACTAAATATTAAAAATGCATTAAATTGAGCACTTGTTTATCCTTGTAAAAAACATCTCACCATAAAAAAACAAAGGCTGATTCTGTATTGGCTTAATCTCACAGTCGCGGCGGATTCGCCCATTCGCACACTCCTTACTGTCCTTGTTAAATTAAACTATGAAGTCAACGTGCTTCAAATTCTTACCTACGTATTTAATCAGGAGATTACGATCAGATATAGGGAAATTTCAAAATTTATTGAATTATTGGGCGAGTGATTGTATCAAGTGTTGATGGATCCCAAACGATATTCCTTGATATCCCTTTGTTATCTCCCTTGATATCCCATTGATATCCCTTTGATATCCCCTTGACAACCCCTTGATATACCTTGATATCCCTTTGTTATCTCCCTTGATATCCCCTTGATTAGACAACGGTATCAGAAGTCACTTTATACCACAATGGGACGAATTACACTCGATATTAGAAAAGGAATTTTGCAAATGTATTACATATCACAGTTTGACTAGGTATCGAGGGAAACATCGTGCTACACCGAAATTCTCCCCCTTCCGACACATAGAGAAAAAACAAGAAAGTCAATGCATTTACAAGCACATTGAAGATAAACCCTAAAGATCATTATGCGTAGGAAGCACCCGTATCAAATGGTATTGAGTAAACATTTACAGAGAGTGGTCATATTCTAAAGTTCTACTGTAAGATTTCCGTCTCCATACTTCCGACCTCACAACCGATCCTTTTAACCAAGCGGAATTACATTTATCAAAATGACAAGTCCATGTTTTCTGATAAGAGTTATCGTTTGTCTTTCTATCTTAAATACACACCAGTCTTTGATATCTACAAAACAAATAAAAGGGTTCTCACCTTGATCCCCGCGACCATTGCCTCGCAATGTACATACATAATTCTGTGCAAACATGCCCATGTCTCATTTATTTAACAGGATCGAGTTTTATAAAGACTAAGAGGCATTGTATCTCAGAGAAAATCTTTTCAAGCTTCTTTCAATTATTGCTATGTCGATTTAATTCCTGAATATCGAAGAGATATCGCTGTAGTGGTATATTATAGGTATACCGAAGCCCCTTCATTTGTCATAGAGAGTAAAAAGAATCATGTTAGATTTCAGAACTTATCTTTTACAGCCGATGTCATTTGAATACACAGAAGTGAACCATATTAGTTGTTTAATAATGTTTCGATCGTTAAAAGATGGCAGTTTCCACTTTTCCAGTTTTCTTCTCATTAAACAGGTCACAACTGTATTTTTCCATTTTTTTTTTTTTTTCAAATTTTCATTATTTACACACTGAATCAATTTCACCGTCTTTTAATCATTTACCGTTTTAGTGGAAAAAATCATAAAAAATAAGATTTCAAATAATGAAAATTAAGTAATAGAATGTTGTTTTAGAGACTGAACAATCGGTCTAGGGCAGATAAAGACCTTATCATAGAACTTTAACATTGCCTACAGTCGTACAGCTATCCCCATGTATTTACTTACAGCAATGCAGCTTGTGTTACACGGCAATATTTCAAATGATAGATTACTAAGTACATATATATATAATTATGTCTATCACATGACCTACCGGTAGGAAAATAAATCGAGGCTCGTGCCCTTTACATAGAAAAAATAAGATACGAAAGCACATTTTGATTTATCATTACAAAACATTAATGCAATGTATCATCAATGCATTCAGTGTGAGCACAGAATGAACTATCAACATTAAAAAAACACAACACACATATATCATGTAAAACGGTTCGAACATGAAACTAGACTCATTCCAAGTCGTTCAGTTAATGAATTTCTTCATTGACAACAAGAAATCTATGTAAAACAGATGAATGTTATTTCGGGGTGGTTAATATCAATATCAAGTTTAGTCGGCTGACAGCAATGCGAAATAAATGTATACAACAGTCAGGTGTGTTTCTGTCTGAAAATCAATCGATAACATATTCCACCTGGCAATTGCCATTCCATATATACTCGACACACCGACTAAGGCCAAAACCGACACCATATATCAACGCTGACAATACACTAGCATAGGCTAATTCATTACTTTTTAAACGAAATTGTCCCCGACAACATAAGATCTATTAACGTTCAGGCACTCGCCTACATTTGACAACAAAACCTTTTGAGTGAAAATAAAAAACATTTTCTTGTGTTATTAAAGTATTATAATGCTATTTACGATAACAATATTAGCTGTCTTGGTACGGCTATAGGGTATGTGAGAAAAATAATATTTGTATGAATGAGAATTCAAGCGTGCTATTGAATAAGGCGTCTCTCAGAGGTCCCTGGCAACTGGACGCGATGGCCCGTAACAACAACAAACTATCTCCGAACACGTGCTCGGTTTGAGCCAATCGAAGTTGGTTTAACATAAGATTGAGACACTCCGGTGTAAAAATGGCGACTGATATCGACACCGGACTAAACATGATGAATTCGTACGCCATGTATCCGGACATGGCTCCGGTTTACGATGAACCCCGGGTAAGCTATATCTGATAAATTGCTTTACTCGTGTCCAAGTTACTATGGATACAGGACCGTCAATGCACTGTTTAAATTTTCTAAATTTAATTAATTTCTGTTACATTCGAATTCGTTACAGGTTGGAGAAAATGTGATAACACAAGGACTAACTAAAGACTTGGAAGAATTTTACGATAAAACAGAATCTAGTGCTGACAGAGAAAAGGCATTGCAACTGCTTACTTCTCTGAAATTTGGTCAAGAAATTAAACATCCGAACTATCCACCTTTAGAAAGGCCCCATACAGCCATGCCAACTTACGGTAAGTCTGATGTGAAGGGTGGATTTAAAGGGGACCTCGAAAGGGTTTCCTGCAATATCGCTGTATTTCAATATACTATTATGTATAACATAATTGCTACTCTGTTTAAATATTGCTATAATTCAATAATACTCTCAGCGACAATGTTTGTCGTACAATTACAATGTTTATTCAATACATAAACAATGGTAAAATAATATAAACAATGAAGTGAAGATAATTTATTTATACGCTAGTAACTATCCTTTTTTTGTAAACAAATTTCCTTAGTGTTAAACTTTGTTCCAGAAATCAATATACGTTATATATTTGATGATGAATGTGTATATATTTAATCTCGAGTGTTTATATGATGTATTCAGATATTTAAAACATTTTATACTGTGTGATTTTAAGTAAGATTTTATACGACAAAAATGATTTGCAGTTTTACTGTTATACGAGAAAGCTACAAAAAACTGTTTCATAATGAAATACGTTTATCACCGTTTTGTTGTCGAATATCGATACGTAATTCGGAAAGCCTGCAGACTTTTTTAACCAATTATTTCTCGATTGACCAAGAATGTTGTTTTTTTTGTAATTTCTTTCGACCCACTTGGATTTTCCTTATTTGCCTCCTAGTTTTTCACCATTTAAGGCCTTTAGCATCACTCAAGAACCCTAGATGGATGAAAACATTGTGTAATGCAACTAAATTTCTTTTTTGCTATGACTTTTAATTAATTTTGATTGAAGGGTGTTCTCCCTTTGTGTATTTTTGTAGAATATTTGAAACCTATGATACTGACAGTAGGATTTGGATTAACGTGATCTATGTTAAAATTACCCGACCGATGTTATGTCTGTATGGTTAAAATTTCATGTGTTATGAATTCTATGGGAAAGATAGAGAAATCATTTTAACATTTACCGAAAAATTATCTCTCAAATGGTCAATGGAATTTGAAAAATCGAGAATTCGAGAAAACTCCAAAACTCTTCATTAAGATATTAAATAAATTTCTCAGTATCAGAAAGTCTAAGGTACTTGAATGTATTTATAACTTGAAAAGATGATGAAACACGATTGAATATTAATATCTAGCCAGCCTGTCTGATGTGAATGAAATCAGCATGCAATGTAATAATCAATTACAGGTGGAAGAAATCCGTACCAAACAACGTACACAAAGGATTACCCTTTTAAGGAGTCCAGTGTGACTGCCATCAGGTAAATGATTCATGATAAATATATCACCTTTATAGTGTGGTTATATCAGGTATTGATAAGATACTGGGACAAACAAAATAACCTTGGTATTTCTCCGACGGTTTCACAATAGGTTGTCCTCGAACGGGATACCAGGAATTCGAGGAAGAGAACCTTGGTAAATTAAGATAGAATAACGGGGTTCCAGTTAATGTGGCGTTGCAACAAATTGGAAATCAAGCTAAATTGAATCTGCTAAGTGAAACTTTGGTTAATATAGACTGCCGGTTAATACGATTTCGCATAACAGGACTTGGTTAATGTAAACTCTGATACTCGGGCTTTTTAAAGCCCACACCAGTTGAAGTTTGTATTGAATTCAGTTTCCCTTTATATACATTTTTCTTGTGAAAAGTGTGTTATTGGACATCGTGGCATTGCCATACTGAAGCTAGAGATATCTATTGCTAGAAAGAAAGTAAACAGGTAGAAAACACGAAAGTACGTTACTCAAATTCCGAATATTATACTAAAATATCACATATTGAACACTGCTACTACTACTACAGCCAGAACCTGCAAAGTTGAGATGATCTAACAATTCGTGAACAACAGGGGTTGTGGGGTTTACAAATATTAGATGTTGAGTGATCAGCCCGCCTATTAGGCGACCCAGAGCTCAACACACACCACGTTTATATATCACTTAATCTTCTACATTGCCATTCCAATGTATACTTATATAGTGTAACGGAAATCCAATTAGGGTTCACGTGACCGCTTTGGTTTGGTATTATATAATGACAACACACACAGGGGCAAGACACTTTAATATACTCAAGAATTTAATACTCAAATAAAATTACTAGACTTCTTTTTTTAAAAGTATTCCGAATGATTCCTTATCGTGTACAGTGCAGGTATCTACAAATACTTAATTTTGGTTATGAATTCCATATAGATCAATTAACGCACAGAAAGGATTCATAGCCAAATGAACGCAAGTGATTTCACTAGATGTAATAATATCAAGAAATGTGTAATCTCCGTTAGTAAATTAGTAACGAAATCAAGAACGAACATGTAAACAGTAATGAAAACGAACAATAAGTAACCTTCTAATTGTATTGTAGTGCATAAGCACATTTTTTTTTATTAATTATTCAATTCCTATGTCAGTGGACAATCTATACAGCTGTGCCCAGTGTGTATTGTGCAGTAACGAAATAAAGCTATTACTATCTATTTGTAAATTCACAAAGTAACACTTAATAAAATTTTCGTGAGGTAAATATCTTTTGAATATTTAAACACAATAAATTCGGTATATTATACCTCGACTGTGGTTACTACCTATTTATGTATAGGTAATTACGTGTCTTATGTAATGATTGAACCAATAAATACTTGTCAATCACCATACACTACCGTAATACTATATAAATACGGATATCAAATGACTACCAGCTCAACTCCCTTGTGTGGTATATAATGATCAAATGGAATTCCTGACGGAAATTAAAACCTTGGGTGTCTAAAGAACCACACAGTTATTTACAATGCAGTCCTCGATATCGTTATTTACGTATCCAGTGTACGTTTTGATTACGGTAGATGTCATGAAATTGCGACCGGCAGAAATTGCAAAGATTTCGTGTTAAAACCTCTCATATATTTTCATTTATTCAGATTTTTTTCATTGCTGTTTTAATTAGTTGAGCTGCAACTATTCTAATGTGATAGTACATCATATTTCTACTGAGCTTAAGTGAGGTTGTGAACCCTAAATCCTCGTTACTGTAATGCCGCTAGTTTCCCCATACTTTAATGTGTAAACACATGATTTCTCCGGCCCTAGAGCTAGCCGTTTGAAATTGTGTACATGATTGAAGTCTATAATTATGAATATTTACTGGCAATATAATTCTACCACCGTCTCATTCCCTGTTGGGCGTTTTGTCTGGTGTCCACGTATTCAGACGTGTGTGGAGGTTAAACATTTCGACGTTTACTTGATAAAGTATGATTTGATGAAACCACACCAGATAAAGAATCTTGTTTTAGTAATGCACTGTAATGAAATAAACAACAGTGGAGTTTGTTGTCTTATTTCGCCCTACTGTGAACAAATTATTGTAAATTTTTTCATGTTTGATTTTCTACAAACAGGACAGATATTTTTTCATCGTGTCGTTATCATAACAGTGGAAACTATTTGTTGATATTACACTGCGTGCTAACTTCCAAAATAAATGTAACTATCACTTATCCTTTTAAATCAGCCAATATTGGTAATAAATGACAGAAAATAAATTGACATACATGTATTAAGAAAATTTCTTTGACATTCGTCGTCGTATTTTGTTGTCTAGGCCGATGTCCTCACAAGGATTCGCAGCATCACATGACCTGAGCGGCCCTATCGGAGCCACTACTTACCACAATGATTTCAGTAGTGCACCTCAGCGTCCTGCTTCCCCAGTCAGGAGCGGCACCGCTTCCGGTTCGCGTAACAATAAACCACACCCACTTCAGGTAAGTGGACTCACTTCCGATTCAGATGTGGTGTTATTGTGAATGAATTCTGGTGCATTGATTTGTATAAGTACATGCTTCCTGTCAATATCAGGAAAATGGTCAAACAAAATAAGAACAGTCAAGTACATGCGTACAAAGTGTAACGTATCTACTGCAGCAAGACGATTAGAGTTCCCTCCCTTCGAATGCACATGTATACTCGTATGTTTTAAATATTATTCAGTTATTGCCAAGAACTGTGTTGATTATAAATAATTTTAACTAGTATCTGTTATGTTAATCCACTCGAAGGTACAGAGGAATATAATGATTGAATCATGTTCAATGAATTAACATTTTTTTGCTGAAATACTCAGCGAATGGACAACTTCATCAAAAGCGAAGCCGTTATCATGCATACGAGCCCCTTGGTATAACTCATAATCAAAATAAATTCCATGTCTAATTTCAAAGTATACTTCATTACGCCTGCCGAGCGTTCTTAGGATATTTCAGTTAATGATATTTCTTTACTAGCACTAAAATGAACTTTAATGACTGTTAAAATTGTTCGTTAACATGGTTTCAGACCAACAGCCTCAATCACTGAGATTGAAAAGTCGTATAATATATATCGGGAATGTTATCTAATGAGTCTTGATTGTAGACACCTTGTCAAAGCGTCAAAATAATGTAACATCATACCGGAATATCGTACCTTTTATTTCCAGTCCTTCATGGTGTGGAAGTTCCCGTCGAAGGCACGGGCAGAGCAAAAGGAAAGTCCGTGGTCTGAAGAACTAACGGACGATATGATCAAACAGGTTCACAAGCGCCTGTGTCAGTCTACATACCAAAGTGACTTTCTCGGTATACCTCAAGGTAAGAACACATTCCTTAAATAGATCAGCGCTACCTCAAGGTAAGAACACCTTCCTTAAATAGATCAGAGCTACCTCAAGGCAGGAACACCTTCCTTATATATATCAGAGCTACCTCAAGGTAAGAACACCTTCCTAATATAGATCAGAGCTACCTCAAGGCAGGAACACCTTACCTTATATATATCAGAACTACCTCAAGGTAAGAACACCTTCCTTATATATATCAGAGCTACCTCAAGGTAAGAACACCTTCCTTATATAGATCAGAACTACCTCAAGGCAGGAACACCTTCCTTATATAGATCAGAGCTACCTCAAGGTAAGAACACCTTCCTTATATATATCAGAACTACCTCAAGGCAGGAACACCTTCCTTATATATATCAGAACTACCTCAAGGCCGGAACACCTTCCTTATATATATCAGAGCTACCTCAAGGTAAGAACACCTTCCTTATATATATCAGAACTACCTCAAGGCCGGAACACCTTCCTTATATATATCAGAGCTACCTCAAGGTAAGAACACCTTCCTAATATAGATCAGAGCTACCTCAAGGCCGGAACACCTTCATTATATATATCAGAACTACCTCAAGGTAAGAACACCTTCCTTATATATATCAGAGCTACCTCAAGGTAAGAACACCTTCCTTATATATCAGAACTACCTCAAGGCCGGAACACCTTCCTTATATAGATCAGAGCTACCTCAAGGCCGGAACACCTTCATTATATATATCAGAACTACCTCAAGGCCGGAACACCTTCATTATATATATCAGAACTACCTCAAGGTAAGAACACCTTCCTAATATAGATCAGAGCTACCTCAAGGTAAGAACACCTTCCTTATATATATCAGAACTACCTCAAGGCAGGAACACCTTCCCTTATATAGCTCAGAGCTACCTCAACGTAAGAACACCTTCCTTATATATATCAGAGCTACCTCAAGGCAGGAACACTTCCCTTATATAGATCAGAGCTACCTCAACGTAAGAACACTTCCCTCATATAGATCAGAACTTCCTCAAAGTAAGAACACCTCACTTATACGACAGAACTGCTTCAAAGTAAAACTACTATCATTCTCTAGACCGGAAATACCACATGGTAAGTATGTTTATCAGGATAGATTCGCCGTTCCGCTTGTTTTGGTAAAAGTCAAGACGAACTCATTTTACCTCTAGTTAGGAATAAATTCACAACAATCATGTCCATCATTACCAGCCACGTATTATTGTTGGCAGCCATTTGTATATATGTATACTCTACACTATCTTGTTTACTGAGAATAAAACAGTTGTTATCGTCATTAAATGACACCCCCCACCCACCCCCAAGAAAAATGACTTTGTGAGACAGAGGTAACCAAGTGCAATGTTTATGTTTGAACTTCTCGGAAGAATGTTGATGTGATGAAAACAAACGCTAAACAGATGTTATAGGAGCTATCACATAGTTTGTCATCACATCGTCTTTCATTTCGTGAAAGCAGCTTCCATTGCATATGTCATAGAATACTTGGTATAAAAGCCCTAATCTACAGCTCGATGTTTAGCAATTCTCGTCTAATTCAACTTTCAACAACACAGGTTTTTGATCAACATCATGGACGAGATAAGCGTAACTTCTGTCAACATTCCCAGGAGAAGAATGTGTATTTGTCAAGGATTTATTTTGACATCCGTTCAATAAATTTGGTTGATTTACAGGTTTCCAAGTGAAAAGTGCATACAATCTACCTCCCGATTGGAAGGCGAACATTCCGTACACACTAGACTCTGTGGCCCGATATTCCTTCCAAACCCCATCCCAGCAAGATGAACTGAAACTCCCAGCCTCGCGCTATGGTAGCAACAAGAAAAAACAATTTGTCGCTTCCGGTACAAGTAAGTCCTTCCGCCGTATAATCAATGCACGCAACAAACTGGCAAGTTGAGCTAGACCAACAGAAATACTGTCTTTGCTCTGTTTACAAATTACAAAATACATTTTACAAAGATTTGTGAATAGAAGTAAACGTATAAGTTATTTAATGTTTATACTTCAAATTCGGTTGTTTGAGTTAGTTTATAAAATGGAAAAAAAACTAATTGCGCTTTATTAAAGTGGAAAACGGGAAAATATTAATTAATTTCTTCCATTATGTTACAGTACCCACAGCATCATCTAGGTACATGCACATCAAACAGAGAACAACATACGATCGGCATTACAACGACAACTCGCCAGCTGTCGTTACCCAAATTAAGGATACCGGAAAGAAATTAGGGACCGAGGCCCTTCGGAAACACATGGAGAAAACAGAAGGAGAAGGTAAGAACTCTTCTGTAATAGAGGGGAAAAGTACACACTGCGTCATCATGCGTTTTGTTTTGTGCTATATATCAGCCTTTGGTTTGAAAAACAAGCGTTTTGGAAACCCATATGTTTGGCAAGTTTGATCCGATTTGTTTGCACATGTCACATGATCACTATTTACAATTGCCATGGTTACAGTGGTAAGTATATTCACAACATCTTCAGTCGCATTAACGCTTGTCTTCTGACTGTTCTCATGCTTTTACCACAAAAGATGTTTGGTCAATTTTCTTATCTCACCTACATGTATATCATTAATTCACATTGTTATACATACAAGACTTTTCTGGTTTTTTTAGTTGATTTTATTTCATTTTATAAAATTAACCTGATATGCACGATTGTTGTTGTTTTGATATTCACATGTTTGTTTTGTAATGTTTTAAGATATGTTCGTATATATTGTCTTGACAAGATCAATACATCTCATTGTAATGATTCTTAAAACACTTTAATTGTTATATCACATCTAACTATTCATGTTATGCTTGTGGTACGATTCTCCTAAAACACATATACCGATTTGTTATTTCGCAGTGTTCTACCAACTTGTTGATGGAAGGAACCGGTTGTCACAAACTATAATAAAATTATATTAACGTTTACTGATAACTTGTGAAAAATGTACAAAAACAAAAACCAAATAATGATGATAAAATAAAGCAGACAGTCGAAGATTGTCTCGTCAAAATTTATTTGAACATGAAGGCTATTTCGAAGCATGCCACACTCTGAAAATACAGTTTTGTGACTTCCGGTATTTTGTCGTTTACATTACTTCCGGTTTATGCCATATTCTGTTTGTGTTGTGTGGTTTGCCTGTTATGCAGTGTTTGTGAGTGTCGTTTACACGGTGCTTCGATTTTCTGATCTGTTGCAGAGAAAGACTTGGTCGGGAAGATGTTAGAGGCCTACGAAATGGGCGGTTATGAGCCAATGGGCGGAGTACCTAACGTACAGCCACCACCACCCCGCCCTAATTCACGCGCCTCTGTCAATTCCAAACGTTCTTACAAACCTCCAAGTACACCTATTTCGAACTTTAGCGCCAATTCCTCGGGTGTGCATCCTTTCCGAATGGGTCGTACACCGACCCCGAGCCATCGGTCGCCCAGCACGCCCTCGTGTGGTAGGCCTGACAGCGGGTATCAAAACAGATTGGGAATGCATATACCGCCCACTCCAATCTCTCTACCAATGAAAGGATCCAGAACGCCATCCACGCCCATATCTGTTCCTTATACTCCGCCCATGTTTCTGTCCTAGTTGTTGATTCGTCGCTAGTTCTGTCATAACAAACACATACGAATTAAAATATTGTCGTTGATTTTCTGAAATCCACTGCCCAGCTTTGTTCATCATTTACTGGAATTAATACAGAAATTATGTCCGCATTATAGAGAATAATGCCATACGTTTCAGAATGTTTCTTCTGTCATAAAAAATATATATTTTATTATTTTCTAACTGTGATAAAATTATTACCTGATGCCCTGAGAGCGGAAATCAACATGAAGATTATTGAACGTTATAGCATACGGGAAAAAATAGGATTGACAAAATGTTGGAGGGATGCTAAACTAAACTGAACAATTTGAAAAATATGTCAATATTTTGGCTAAAACGTAAAGATTGATAACACTAAATATATTGGTTTATTTAGACGTACAATAGTTTATTTGATAGACAGGCCTATTGAACAGTGCCTTTTTGGTCGTAGTGAATCTGTTAAGTGCTAGATACACGTGACTTACGTTGCTTCAGTGTGCTATAAATAGAATTATACTCTCTAAACCGTGCTGTGTGTTTGCCAGAACGATTATGACGTCACGTTTAGAGGACTGGCCTGTCTTGCACTTATTGTTGTCAATGGTTACATTTCAACAATACATAGGTAGGGATGTTGAAAATTGATTTGCTCATAATTGTTATTTTACATTAGAACCGATATCTTGTTATGTAACGTGACTTCATTTGTCGTTTGTTTTCAAAGCAATCTGTGATTTTTTTTTCACTTTTTATCTTGGCACACTCTGAAGCACATGATTGATACCTTACCGCACATTTTAAACTGCCAAACATAATCTAAGTGTCCGATATTGTCAGTGTTTACAGTTATCGATTCGAAAGCCAACACCGCTTCCCTATTTTATGTTTGTACTTCAGTATTAACACATTCAGTGATATTTCTGTTCAGTCTGGATGTGTTTCGGTGTATTACCGAAGTCATTTATAGACGTTAAACGTCAATGTTTTCCAAGAAAAGTTGTGATATGGGACGTAACTGTTGTTAATCCAAGTTGCTTGAGTTATCTCCCTTTTGACAAAATAGTAACTAAGAAAGGCCCAATGATCAATTGTAGTTGTAGTGTTATTTTTATGAACTTATTTTCAGATGCACAAAATATAAGCAACAGTTGCACTAACATGGAGTTTAATCGTCCTGTGTTACGAATGCAACAACGGCCCACCACATCTATGTTCCCGCGGCTTTCAATGACCCACGGAGCCGTGCCGATGTTGGACAGGGCCACTGATTGGCCGGGACCAGTGCACTCGTGATTGCTGTCCTTATCACGTGATATTACACAGTTGATCAAAGATGCCTAGAACACTTGTCATTTCTCAACATTCTGGAATAGTCTGTGATATGGTACGCCTAAGTTGACATAAAATCTCTCTCTTCAGGATTTCCCTTCAACGTAATGATTATTTAACCAAATTACACTTGTTTCCCATTCCAAATTGTTAAATGTTCATTTTTGTTTTCATTTTTATGTTTTTTGTGCGGTTGCCAATGAATCTCAAATCACATTTCATGGAAACTTGAAAGTTTAGAAGCGAAATTAAATCCTGTTTCGACTTCTGGAACAAGGAAGGCTCATATGTAGTATTTTTCTGTTCTGACAGGAATGATTTAAATTTTATTGTAGACTTTGATTGTAATAATTTACAAAGACCATTAATGAGTACTTATATCTTATTGTTGAATTACCGTTTTTACCGAGGAGAAAAAATGTTCTTCACTACTTTTTTTTTGTTGTTGTTCACGGACGTCATAAAAGTTTTGTATAGCTCTAGTCATCTTATTAACAAGGAAATATATTTTTCTACATTATGAAAATTGTGGATTTTAGGAGAGTATTGATATATTATTGCTGACCAGTATATATATATACCCTTAGTATTATTTAGGCACAGGGTCAATGCTAGACATTTGTATTCTAACTTCACTTCTTGTTTACTATGAATATGCTATGAATGATAAATTAGGACGCTTTTTTATTTTTAATATTAGAGGAATATCCACTATCTATTAAGATGTAACATATATTTAATCATGCAGGAATACCATACAAATTTTATGTTTTCGAATACGATTTAATCATAGTAATCTATAACACTTTTGGCTCTATAACAGACATCATGTATCATTTCAATTTATATCAACCGACACGGAAATACGTTAACTGCTCAATTTACAAAATCATTTTAATATTAACCGAGAGGGCTAGCCTATCAGCCAGTTCCATCAATAGATTAATATACGGCATTAGCTTGAGTTAGAATTACGTATTCAAACTGTCACCCCATACCCGGCCTATTTCTGCTTCTGGGAAATTTTTTGTTAAACAGCTGCTTCCGCTTTATTATAATTTACAAAACCAGGCCGATAAAAATATATGACAGGTATATAGTTCTAGTTATGTATGTATTTATATGTCTGTTATATATATATATATATACATGGTTTGTTATGAAATCGGAGATATCTGTTTATAGTGATGGCCAACGTCATGTGGAAAGTTGTATCGATAATACACAGGTCCGGTTTCTTTTTGTATCGAGACGAGCTCGGGTGTCTATCCTTGATCTAGTAACACTGAATTAAAGATAAGTATTAGCAAAGAGAGAACATGGATGTTATACATGCTTGTAAAACGTCATGTTACAGTCATTTCTTTTCTTTATTTTTTCTTACTTAAATCTAAAAGGCCCGAGTTTCCGAGTTTCTATTTTTGTGAATACATAAAACATTTGTCTCATTTGTCTGAAATCTACAAAGTTGTCCGTATTTCCATGAAATTATTCTTGATATAAATTTAATTGAATTGAATAATGAAATTGAAATAAATTAATAGAAGCCCTAGATTTACTTAGACATAATTATTGTAGTCAAGGATCATTAAGGTCTCAAAATGTATCAGTATTAGGCCGTCGAATTAAACATTTTACCAAAAATCCTCGATCGATGTTTCTTGTTTTGTAATAGGACTATCAAACACGCTTTACTGAATTCGTTTACATTATGTATTAGGGACAAGGTGATACGCTGGTCAGTGTAGGTCAGTGTGTGGTCAGTGTTTGGTTAGTGTGCGGACGACATGATTACATGATCAATAATTCTACACATCTTTCATAGAATTCTTAAACTAACATATTTTAATTATCATTTTTCGTTCTACTTTAAGTTTAATGTGTTTTATTCATGGTTACGGTCACATCCGATTTTATATCTCTTTAAACCCTATGTGATTATATCTGATAAGAAACATTGTTTCCTGAAGGGAGATAATTGGATTATCTCCCTAGGATTATCGCCCCTTATTTCGATAAAATAAAGTGTATACCGTAAAACCACACGGTATTACGTTTTGCTGATGAAATTATGTCATATGATTTTGCACACAAATATACATCATGATGAAAATTTCTGTTAAATTACATAATTTGGATGTAGCTCTATTTTCCTGATAAATATGGCTGAAAATGAATAAAGATGAAACGTCATTGTGATAAATGTCAGTTATTTTGGATAACTTTATTCAGTTCTTTAAAAAAAAACCATAAACGATAGATAATAAAACAACATGAAGATAAAATTGACATATTCTTATTAGTTACCATATGTTTAAACTTGTTATTCGTGACAATTTCGCGAAGTATGTGTGAATTGGTATTATGGGGACATCATGGATGTTATTCTTTCTTTTTCTTTCTCAGAAAGATTTTTTGTTACACGTTTCAGTTATATTGTTTATGGGAGAAGTGATAGATTTGTACGCAACATTTTAATTTGCTATTGAATTGCACTGAGAATAAACAATATAAAACAGACATATTTGCTTCCTGTGTTTTGTTGGTGCTAATGACGAATTAATCGGCGTGGTGCATGAATGAAGGGGAGTAACTCTGATGAAGTTAACCCAACACCATAGCTATAACAACGTCAAATTTGGTCGATTTTATCAACTGATCTATTTACCGATCTGTTTATTTCGTTTTTTATATTCTACATAAAAAGCAGTTGTTGAAACAATGAAAATCTTACGATGAAAATGTTTTTCTAGTGTTTCTCAGAAGTAATTTCGGGATTTTCTTGATATAGTTTTCTTTATTTTTCGACTCCGTGAAACTATGAAAGGTTGTTTCTGTGTGACTTTTCAGTTCAGTCGAAAAATTGCATGGTTTTCACGGTCCTAACTTGTGGAGGTTTATATTTCTCGAGGAGAAAAGACTATAGACCATCCTGTGTTTTACTGATTTGTTCTTTGACTGAACACTTAACTCTAGTTGTTCTGGAAGACACATGCCGGACCTCCCTTATGTAGTTCGGTGAAGTTGGCACCAACTTCTACCAGAAAACCCGGCCTAGAAATAATATAGTTGTTCAAAAGATGATAAAACTCGACAAACCAAAATCCTTCGTGTATATGGAATTCAAGCACTTTCAGGTATAAAAATCTTCAGCGGCTTTCTCGTTAACTAAACAATACTGGCTACAAAGAACATCGCCTAAAAGTGATCTGATAATCAACTGTGTAATCCTTCAATTAGATAAACTCATTTTCAATACCTCAAATCTGTTAGTTGTCTTATTAACGAGGTAGATAATATGGCTTTAACTTAGAGACCTACATATCTGTTTTAATATATCTCTTGTGGTAATGTATACATTTACTTTAGAATTGTAAGTTTAAAATTGAAAAAAAAACATATGTAGGAAAATCCTTAAATTATTTTGATACAATAATTGACGGTCGCGGTCAGCTTCATGTCAGGAGTCGTATGACAGAGAGAGGTCACCTTAGGTGTTAGAGGTCAAGAAAAGAACCATATGTTATAGGTCACTTGCAGAGTTAGAGGTCAAGTAAAGAACGATTAGCTTATATGTCACATTTAGTACTGAAAGTCAGGTAATAAGAAATATTTCATCGGGCACATGTAGAGCTGGAGACAAAGTAAAAAGCAATTATGTCACAGGT